GGGCCAGGCCAGTGGGCCAGGCCAGTGGGCCAGGCCAGTGGGCCAGGCCAGTGAGCCAGGCCAATCTTACCGCTTCTCCCACAGCACGAGGCCCATTCCCAGGTCAATACTCCCCGCAGCACCACCCTCACTCACGGATGGTCAATACTCGCACCCCAAAAGGAGACGAAAGATTATCACATAATATAAACATGGAAAATACTGGAAAGCTAGGTCCCAAATTTATATTAAAATACTACACTGAAACGAACGAAATGGAAGTATAATGAGAATAGAACCAGTGAGGGGAAGAGGCGCACTCAGAGAACACTGTACAAACATCAGAGCCCCATCGTGGTTCTATATCCTACCAGCAACTATAAGAAATATTGTCGGAACAAAGGTTATCTCCAGATGATTTCGGGGCTTAGTGTCGTTGCGGCCCGGTCTTCGACCAGGACTCTACCCCCAGGAAGCAGCCCGTAGCAACTAACTCCCAGGTACCTATTTACTGCTAGGTAATTGGGGCGTCAGGGTGAAAGAAACATTTTGCCCATTTGTCTCCGCCTCCACCGGAGATCGAACCCGGAACCTCAGGACTACGAATCCGAAGCGCTGTCCACCCAGCTGTCAGGCACCTGACAAGGTGGACTACAAGAACAAAACAGACAAGTTCCATCAAGTGCCAGACCAACCGGGCTGTAGTGGATGTGTGGGTCTGCGGGCCGCTCCCAGCAACGGCCTGTTCCAAGCTCTAAGTCTGGCACCGGACTTAGAGCTTGGAACAGCTCTAACACTCCGCACGCACTCCAGGTGCACACCAGGTATATGGAACCAATTACCGCGTAACGTGGTGGAGGTGGGGTCCCTCGATTGTTTCGAGCGCGGGTTGGACATGTATATGAGTGGGATTGGGTGGTTATAAATAGGAGCTGCCTCGTATGGGCCAATAGGCCTTCTGCAGTTACCTCTGTTGTAATGTTGCTAAGCCTTGCGTGTCACACACGCTGCTTGTTATCTACTCTGGCCATGTCGCCGAATGCTTTTGTACGTTGTGATTCTCACTCCACGCGGGTTCGAATTCCTTTAGTCAGGAATTCGCTTATTACCTATTGATTAACTGGTGCAACAATTTCTGGGTGTCGTGTGCTAGTGCTATCATACCGTCATACAAAGTTGTCCGACGCTGCCTCGTGTAATTGTGGTGCACTTATGGGTGGTGCGCTCGTGTGTGTGTTGTGCGGTTAGTGGCGTCCATGCGTTGCTGGCGGGGGGGGGGGGGGGAGGGGTGCGTCCTTGGCCTCATTCGTCAGTCTAGGCTGTGAGGGAACTAGTGTTAATATTTTAAAGGCTGCTGGTTTCCTTGTAATGTATCGGGTGTTTGGTTGTGTTTGGTGAGGGAGGTGTTTGGTAGTGTTTAGTGAGGGAGATGTTTGGTAGTGTTTAGTGAGGGTGGTGTTTGGTAGTGTTTAGTGAGGGAGATGTTTGGTAGTGTTTAGTGAGGGTGGTGTTTGGTAGTGTTTAGTGAGGGTGGTGTTTGGTAGTGTTTAGTGAGGGTGGTGTGTTGTTTAGTGAGGGTGGTGAGGGTGGTGTTTGGTAGTGTTTAGTGAGGGTGGTGTTTGGTAGTGTTTAGTGAGGGTGGTGTTTGGTAGTGTTTAGTGAGGGTGGTGTTTGGTAGTGTTTAGTGAGGGAGATGTTTGGTAGTGTTTAGTGAGGGTGGTGTTTGGTAGTGTTTAGTGAGGGTGGTGTTTGGTAGTGTTTAGTGAGGGTGGTGTTTGGTAGTGTTTAGTGAGGGTGGTGTTTGGTAGTGTTTAGTGAGGGTGGTGTTTGGTAGTGTTTAGTGAGGGTGGTGTTTGGTTGTGTTTAGTGAGGGTGGTGTTTGGTTGTGTTTAGTGAGGGTGGTGTTTGGTTGTATTTAGTGAGGGAGATGTTTGGTTGTGTTTAGTGAGGGGTGGTGTTTGGTTGTGTTTAGTGAGGGGTGGTGTTTGGTTGTGTTTAGTGAGGGAGGTGTTTGGTTGTGTTTAGTGAGGGAGGTGTTTGGTTGTGTTTAGTGAGGGAGGTGTTTGGTTGTGTTTAGTGAGGGAGATGTTTGGTTGTGTTTAGTGAGGGAGGTGTTTGGTTGTGTTTAGTGAGGGTGGTGTTTGGTTGTGTTTAGTGAGGGAGGTGTTTGGTTGTGTTTAGTGAGGGAGGTGTTTGGTAGTGTTTAGTGAGGGAGGTGTTTGGTTGTGTTTAGTGAGGGAGGTGTTTGGTTGTGTTTAGTGAGGGTGGTGTTTGGTTGTGTTTAGTGAGGGAGATGTTTGGTTGTGTTTAGTGAGGGAGGTGTTTGGTTGTGTTTAGTGAGGGAGGTGTTTGGTTGTGTTTAGTGAGGGTGGTGTTTGGTTGTGTTTAGTGAGGGAGGTGTTTGGTAGTGTTTAGTGAGGGTGGTGTTTGGTTGTGTTTAGTGAGGGAGGTGTTTGGTTGTGTTTAGTGAGGGAGGTGTTTGGTTGTGTTTAGTGAGGGTGGTGTTTGGTTGTGTTTAGTGAGGGTGGTGTTTGGTTGTGTTTAGTGAGGGGTGGTGTTTGGTTGTGTTTAGTGAGGGAGGTGTTTGGTTGTGTTTAGTGAGGGAGATGTTTGGTTGTGTTTAGTGAGGGAGGTGTTTGGTTGTGTTTAGTGAGGGTGGTGTTTGGTTGTGTTTAGTGAGGGGTGGTGTTTGGTTGTGTTTAGTGAGGGAGATGTTTGGTTGTGTTTAGTGAGGGTGGTGTTTGGTTGTGTTTAGTGAGGGTGGTGTTTGGTTGTGTTTAGTGAGGGAGGTGTTTGGTTGTGTTTAGTGAGGGAGGTGTTTGGTTGTGTTTAGTGAGGGTGGTGTTTGGTTGTGTTTAGTGAGGGTGGTGTTTGGTTGTGTTTAGTGAGGGAGGTGTTTGGTTGTGTTTAGTGAGGGTGTTGTTTGGTTGCGTGTTTGGTGAGGGAGGCTGGTGGAGATGGTTGATGAAGATGGTTGATAGTGATGAGGAAGGAGGAAGTGGTGGGTCTTAGTTAACCTGTTACCTGCTAGTGGCTACAGGGAAGTAGGTTGTAGATCACTCTGCCCTCGCCTACCTTTTGTACCTCTTGGGTTATAATTTAACTCTTCTCATGTTTAAATTTTAAGGTTATTCTGACCTTAAAGGTGTGGCTGGAGGAATCTTTCACAACATCTTTCAGGTTCACTTGACGTTCACCAACATACAGAGTATGATGGGTGTGTGTCGTACCTGCTTGATGGGGTTCTGGGAGTTGTTCCACTCCCCAAGCCCGGCCCCGTGGCCAGGCGCGACTTGGGAAAGTTTGGTCCACCAAAGAGGAGTTTTTTTTTTTTTTTTTTTAGCGGCCCACAGTCCCCCACACCCACCACAGCCCGGTTGGTCCGGCACTTCTTGAAGAAAACTATCTAGTTTTCTCTTGATGTCCATGGTTGTTCCGGCAATATTTCTTGTACCTGTACTCGCTGGGAGGATGTTGAACAACCGTGGACCTCTGATAATAAAGGCCTTCAACCTTTATTAACACGCTTTTGTGCAGCTGCCCCTAGACTATATGAAGGAGAGTACGAAGTGTCAGAAGGGCTACATGGCGCTAAAAATCCCCATCACACAGAATGGTTAGTCATAGAGGCATGTGATCAGTAGTCTGCACTGGCACACTCTGGGTGTATTATGAGGATATCATGAACACAAGAGTGAATAAGGCAGCAGTGATACTGAGTCTTCATCTCACAGGGTGGTTAATCAGAGGCTTATATAATATAATATATATATATATAATAATATATATAATATGAGGTACATCTGCGTTAGTGCAGCTACCCTAGACTACATGGAGTGGAGTGAGCCTGGTAAGTATTTTTAATCAGAGGCGTTTCCATTTCGTTAGTAAAAAATCTAGGGCTCTACTAACCACCTTTCATAGATTACGTGGGTTATCTGCAGCTTGACTGGAGAGGGTCTCTGGAGTTCTTCTGCTCCTCGAGACTGGATAACTTGGTACAACAGGGTGTTGCTTACAGCTGCCTGTAGGCCACTACAGTCCGTTGGTCCAGTACTTCTTGCAAGAACTTATCTAATTTGTTCTTGAATTCCACCATTGTTCCAGCAATGTTTCTGGCGAGTCGCTATTATGCTCAATTCCCTCATAGGACCCAAAGGACCGACCCCGACCAACCTGCCTGTCCCGTACCCCAGACCATTCACTCTGCAAAGTATGGTGAGGCTAGTCTCAAGCATATGGCTTCCAACATCAGTCAAACAAACAGGCAAACACATTGTCTCTTAGGTATTTACTTGTGTAAATACTTGTAGAAATGTGCCAGTATAAATGGAAAGAATTTACATTGTATAGATATTGCCTAAGTAAGAGAATTTCACTTGTGAATTTTCTGAGGGTCTTGGAGATATTGTTTGAGTTGGTTTGGTTTTAATGAAAAAGGAATTCAGAACATTATTGTATTTAATAAATGGCCAAAGTGATGTTTTTCCTTAAGTTGTGCTCTAAAATAATTAATAAAAGAAAATACCATTTTTTCTCACATACAATACAAAGCTCTGCATAAGACATACTCCTGTTTTACAAGGATATTTTGTGGAATTTTTTAAGTGCTTCATTTAATCATTCTAACAAGTAAATTTTTTTTTATTTATATTCAATAGTTCTTGCATTCTTGTACAGCCGCTAGCATGCATAGCGTTTCTGGCAGGTCCTTAATCCTAATTTTTCCCTGGAATACGACCCACCAAATCGTTTAACAACCAGGTGTTCCATTCACTGCTGGGTGAACAGAGGCTGCAGTTAAGGCTTGGTGCTTGGTCAATCCTTCCCGGCTAGGATACGAACCCAGGCCAAAGCACTCGCGAAGCGCTGGGTGAGTGTCCTACCACTGTGCCACTGGGACTGCTACATTATAATTTTTTTTAAGGTAAAACTGTCATAAAATAATTCAAGACGTAGTTTGTTTTCTCCGCCAGCAATTACCAAATGCATAATAATAATTCATGATTTCGTTGTTTCAGGTGATGTGGGTGGATTCAGTGGTGGGCCGGGTGGGGCTACTGGAGCGCAGCTAAGACTCAACCAGTACTCACCCCACCCACCTCCATCTAGTGCCCAGCAGCCTCAACCAGGACCTCCACAGCTTCGCACACAATCACAACCTCCATCCCACAATCCACACAACGCAGCAGCTGCGCCTCAAGTCCCACACTCACAGCATCACACACACACTCATGCTACATTAACACAGCACACACAACATCATCAAGTATTACAGGTATGGATTCTTAGAAGATGTGCTTTTTGTATTAGTACTTTATTACATTCAAATTACTAGGCTAATTCATTCACCTGAGCAGTAGGAGTCTTTGAGCCTCGCGGTGCCCGGTGGGGCGAGCCTCGCGGTGCCCGGTGGGGCGAGCCTCGCGGTGCCCGGTGGGGCGAGCCTCGCGGTGCCCGGTGGGGCGAGCCTCGCGGTGCCCGGTGGGGCGAGCCTCGCGGTGCCCGGTGGGGCGAGCCTCGCGGTGCCCGGTGGGGCGAGCCTCGCGGTGCCCGGTGGGGCGAGCCTCCTAAATATAATATATACCTACCTACCTATCTACCTGCCTATATATATCACCTACCTGCCTATATCATCTACCTTCCTGCCTATCTATCTATTTGTGAAAATTTATCATTTTATATTCCACTTTTGTTTTAAGGGGGCATATCATTCTAAATCGTTATAAATTAAAAGTTGTTCAATTTGCTTATAAATTTTTTTATGAAATGGTTATAAAAAGGGCTGCAATTGGTCCAAGTTTCACCATCACACCCTAAACAGAAAAGGAGAAAAAAATTACACAACGTATTATGCAACGAATGTTCAACATTCTCAAATAATCTCAGGGAACACATGTGTCAACTAAAATGTCTACTATGTGCTGTAGAAGCACAAACTCTTGTAATAATTGTAATATGTATGTGCAATATATTTAAATTTTTTTTTTCTTTTTTTTTTTTCTTTTTTTTTTTTTTTTTGGCCAATATTTTTTTCTCGTTTGTTATCAAGGGATTTGCATGAAACTTGCACACCTTGCTCAATGGATGCCTATCTGCAAGGGTGCCAATTATGAACGAAATCTGTCGAAGTCAAGCTCAGCTACAGGTGGCCGAACTTGGATCTTTATTTTACTCTGGAAAGTAATTTACGCCTTCAAATTACTTCAGAGCTTTCATTTATTAATCAATTTACATGCAAATTACACCTTATATGTAGCGTTTGTGCTTCTACAGAATCTAGTAGACATTTTAGTCCAAAGTCTATTTGTTGATTTTATAAAAATTTATAAATATCATATGCATATTTTTTTAGAAGGGTAACTTTGAAAAATTATATTATTGCACTAAACACTTTTTTGATAAAACTGATCACTAGAATCCTTTATTATGTGCTTAATTTAATATCTGAGTGTTATAGAAATGATTTTAGTTGACACATGTGTTCCCTGAAACTATTTGAAAATTTGTTGCATAATTCGTTGTTTATTTTTTTTCTCCTTTTCTGTTTAGGGTGTGATGATGAAACTTGGACCAGCTGCAGCCCTTTCTATAACCATTTCATAAAAAAATTTATAAGCAAATTGAACCACTTTTAATTTTACATTGATATGCCCCCTTAAAGTACAGTACTGTAAATATATTTTTTAATGCATTTTATATTGTTTCTATATACAGTATACTGTATATACTGTACATAAGGATCTCTTCTTTCCTTTGGAGCAAGGCATAAAATCTGTATAGCTAAAAATAGAGAAGTCCTTGGTGGAGATGAATTCATTGTGGAATGGAATAGATTTGGTCCCAAGTATTCAGTTTGAGCAAGGTGTCATTACTCTGGTTTATGAGCACCATAAACCAGAAAATATAAATATAGAATGGACATTAATTCACCTTAACATAAACAGAGGAGGACAAAGTTAATCCAAGGAACTCTAAACTTCCTCTATGAAGAGAGAGAGCGAGCTTAATTTACATTCTCAAGAAAGGTAGAGTGTAAATGTGAATGTGGTAGAGGTATACAAAAGGATAAATGGGTACACTATAACAAAAGGGTTTTTAATAGGGAGCCAAATATATAAAAAAGAAATAGATGAAAAAGCCACGGATACAAATTGGACAAGATAGATTGAAGAAAGGAATAGAGAAGAGGGAGAGGGAGGATGAAGGGGTAGGAGTGGGGTAGAGGGAATTTCAGTATTGTAATGTCTTGCTTTAATGATGTATGCTGGTATAGGAGGCAATACCATCTCGATCATTCAGTGATTTAACCAAACACTATATTTTATTGTTATTTAAATTATTACCAATTTGTAATGTTTTGCAGAGTGGAGGAGTAGGTGGACACAGTAGTGGTGGAGTGGGCACAGGTGTGGGTCAGGTTGGAGTCCCACCTGGGCCCAGTCCTGCACCCCCGGGGCCGCCACACGACCTCAGTTCACAGTCCCTCCCTCCAGGATCATCGCCACAAATACAACAGGGTTCGGGTAAGCTGGATTTACATAATATGTTGGTGTTTCATATTCAAATTTACAAATACCTGGCTTTACGCACAGTTGAATGTTGCAAGTGCCACATTTCATTCTTTTCTGGGATTATGTTCTAATCAACTATTCAGTTGTGTATAGTTGATTGCAACATAATCACTCCAACTTGTATATGGGCAAATGCATTTAATTTAAATTTGTTTACAGTACAACAAATACCAAATGGGATGCGGTCCAAATGTCTTCATTATTCAGTCGCTCTGCTTGTAATAATAATTTCATTGCCCAAGTTTGTATTGTCTACTTCTGTCATTTCTTTTAACTTAAAACTTAATGTTACTAGTGGTCCTCTGGACAGCTATAGGTATTGGGTATATATGAGCAAGGCATAGAGCTGCTAGATCTGGCTTCCCCATAGTCACTGATAAACATGTAAGCATAGAATTTAGTTTAAAACTTTATTATCTCCTGTTTCTTTCGCAAATATTCTGTACTGGTACTCTATTCTAATTTTCCACTTTATTGATGTGTGCTTCATTTTCCTGTACTCCCCTGATAGGCAAACAATGCTTTGTTTGCCTATCAGGGCCTATGGGGACTAAGTTTTGGTTCTGAGGGTTTACCACTTATTGGTACCCAGTGCTTTTAACCATTGCACTGCTCTGCCTTAAATTATGACAAACCCGTGGTGTACCAAAAATAAATTCTTTGCAAAAAATTATTTGTCTTCCAAAAGTGTTAAATACCCTTCACTGATCGTATATGTTGAAAATATTGCACAAATGTACTTATTTTGGCCACAGTGGTGTCCAGAAAATGTTGTGTGATGTCACGGCTCGGTGGTCACCCGTGCCGTAGACTCCTGTTGGCAGTTGCGCACCAGCTGCAATAAGCGCGAGTTGCCATAATTATTTTTATTTTTTTTTTTATTTTTTCCGCACAATTACAAATGCATTTTTGTTTTTTTTCTGGCTAATACTATGTATATTGAACACACTTAAAATATTCAGGCAGTAGAACATCTGAAGTTCAAAGAAACTGTTACATATATCACAAATGTGTCCACAAACATTGTTTATGTTTTCTATATATCATGTTCAATATTGTACTTTTACAACTTATTTACACACTGTACACTATCACAGACTATTTACATCCACTTCAATAAACAACATGAAAGTGGAAGATCCAGACAATTTCTTTATGCAGGATATCCAAACCCCTGTAAATATAACTGATATCAACACGACCGTACTAGACTTTGAAAGAGAAATTGAAAACATGCCCATGCATGCATCGAGAGAGTCGGGGGGAGAGAGAGCGAGAGCGCGTGTGCGCGCGAGGGACCTGTCCCCTGAAGCTCATATCAAGAGGATAACATCAGCAGCATATGCCAGGTTGGCTAACATAAGAACGGCCTTTAGAAACTTGTGTAAGGAATCTTTCAGAACAGTATATACCACATATGTCAGACCAATCCTGGAGTATGCGGCTCCAGCATGGAGTCCATATCTAGTCCAGCATAAGACTAAACTGGAAAAGGTTCAAAGGTTTACCACCAGAATAGTACCCGAGCTGAGAGGTATGAGCTACGAGGAGAAGAATTAAGGGGGACATGATCACCACATTCTCGATTCTCAAGGGAATCGACAGGGTTGATAAAGACAGGCTATTTAACACAAGGGACACACACACTAGGGGACACAGGTGGAAACTGAGTGCCCAGATGAGCCACAGAGGTATTAGAAAGAAATTTTTTAGTGTCAGAGTGGTTGACAAATGGACTGCATTAGGAAGTGATGTGGTGGAGGCTGACTCAGTTTCAAGTGTAGATATGATAGAGCCCAATAGGCTCGGGAACCTGTACACCTGTTGATTGACGGTTGAGAGGCGGGACCAAAGAGCCAGAGCTCAAACCCCTCAAGTACAACTAGGCGAGTACTCACTCACTCACTCACTCACGGTGACTTGAACTTTAAATCCATAGACTGGGAGGCATATGAAGCTAAAACAGAAGATTTTTGGACCTGTAGATTTGTAGACCTCATCCTGGAAACATTCTTGTATCAACATGTTAAACAAGCTACGAGGATGAGGGAAGGGGATGTTCCCTCCATGCTAGATTTGATATTTACCAGGAAGGAGGAAGAGGTATTTGACATTCAGTACCTTCCTCCCTTGGGAAAAATGACCATGTCTTTTTGGGAATAAAGTATGCAGTGCGTTATAATCTGGAAGAAAATAAGGAGGTTGAAGCAGTTGAAAAACCAGACTTTAGGAGAGGACATTATGGCCACCTTAGAAATTTTTTTAGTGAGTATAATTGGACAGACTTGATGCTAGACAAGGAAGTGAATGAGATGTATGTCAAGTTTTATGAAATATATGATAAAGGCACAAAAAAATTTATACCAAAACAGATGCAGAACTAGGAAACAGGATTGGTTCAATAGAAATTGCGAGAGGGCCAGAGACCAAAAGACACAAAAATGGAATCAATACAGGAAGAGGCCAAACCCCCAAACATACCAGCAATACAAAGATGCGAGAAACAACTACACGGCAGTGAGGAGAGAGGCAGAAAGAAATTTTGAAAAAGGGATTGGAAACAAATGTAAAACAGAACCAGGTCTATTCTATAAATTCATAAACAACAAATTGCAGGTAAAGGATAATATTCAGAGGTTGAAAATGGGAAATAGATTCACGGAAAATGAAAAGGAAATGTGTGAAACACTGAACGAAAAGTTCCAAAGTGTGTTTGTACAAAATGAAATCTTTAGGGAACCAGACACAATAAGAATTCCAGGGAACAACATAGAGCACATAGAGGTGTCTAGAGATAAAGTGGAAAAAATGCTCAAGGAGCTAAATAAGAACAAAGCAGTTGGTCCAGATGGAGTTTCACCATGGGTTCTGAGAGAATGTGCACCTGAGCTCAGCATTCCACTTCAACTGATTTTTCAGGTATCCCTGTGTAGAGGAGTTGTAGCTGATGTGTGGAAAAAAGCTAACATAGTTCCAATCTACAAAAGTGGAAACAGGGAAGACCCCCTTAATTATAGACCTGTATCATTGATAAGTGTAATAGTCAAAATATTGGAAAAAATAATGAAAACTAAATGGGTAGAACACCTGGAGGAAAATGATATAATATCAGACAGACAGTATGGTTTTCGATCTGGAAGATCCTGTGTAATGAACTTGCTCAGTTTTTATGATCGAGCCACAGAGATTTTACAGGGAAGAGATGGTTGGGTTGACTGCATCTATCTGGACCTAAAAAAGGCTTTTGACAGAGTTCCCCATAAGAGGTTGTTCTGAAAACTGGAACATATTGGAGGAGTGACAGGTAAGCTACTAACATGGATGAAAAATTTCCTAACTGACAGAAAAATGAGGGCCGTAATCAGAGGCAAGGTATTGGATTGGAGGAATGTTAAGAGTGGAGTACCACAGGGTTCAGTTCTTGCACCGGTAATGTTCATTGTCTACATAAACGATCTACCAGTGGGAATACAGAATTACATGAACACGTTTGCTGATGATGCTAAGATAATTGGGAAGATAAGAAACCTAGAATATTGTCATGCTCTTCAAGAAGACCTGGATAAAAAAAATAAGTATATGGAGCAACACTTGGCAAATGGAATTTAATGTGAATAAATGCCATGTTATGGAATGTGGAATTGGAGAACATAGACCCCACACAACCTATATATTATGTGAGAAATCTTTAAAGAATTCTGATAAAGAAAGGGATCTAGGGGTGGTTCTAGATAGAAAACTGTCACCTGAGGCCACATTAAGAACATTGTGCGAGGAGCCTATGCTACACTTTCTAACCTCAGAATTACTTTTAAATACATGGATGGAGAAATACTAAAGAAATTGTTCACGACTTTTATTAGACCAAAGCTAGAATATGCAGCGGTTGTATGGTGCCCATATCTTAAGAAGCACATCAACAAACTGGAAAAGGTGCAACGACATGGCACTAAGTGGCTCCCAGAACTGAAGGACAAGAGCTACGAGGAGAGGTTAGAGGCATTAAATATGCAAAAACTAGAAGATAGAAGAAAAAGAGGCAGTATGATCACCATGTTCAAAATAGTAACAGGAATCGATAAAATTAGTAGGGAAGAATTCCCGAGAACCGGAACTTCAAGAACAAGAGGTCATAGATTTAAACTAACGAAACAAAGCTGCCGGAGAAATATACGAAAATTCACTTTTGTAAATAGTGGTAGATGGTTGGAACAAGTTAAGTGAGGTGGTGGTGGAGGCCAAAACCGTCAGTAATTTCAAAGCATTATATGACAAAGAGTGCTGGGAAGACGGGACACCACGAGCATAGCTCTCATCCTGTAACTACACTTAGGTAATTACAAGAGTACTGGGTGCTGCTTGTATCTAGAGATCACCTTCCCTAGGTGCCCTGCCAAAGCTAGAATATGCAGCGGTTGTGTGGTGCCCATATCTTAAGAAGCACATCAACAAACTGGAAAAGGTGCAAAGACACGCTACTAAATGGCTCCCAGAACTGAAGGGCAAGAGCTACGAGGAGAGGTTAGAGGCATTAAATATGCCAAAACTAGAAGACAGAAGAAAAAGAGGTGATATGATCACTACATACAAAATAGTAACAGGAATTGATAAAATCGACAGGGAAGATTTCCTGAGACCTGGAACTTCAAGAACAAGAGGTCATAGATTTAAACTAGCTAAACACAGATGCCGAAGAAATATAAGAAAATTCACCTTCGCAAATAGAGTGGTAGACGGTTGGAACAAGTTAAGTGAGAAGGTGGTGGTGGAGGCCAAGACAGTCAGTAGTTTCAAAGCGTTATATGACAAAGAGTGCTGGGAAGACGGGACACCACGAGCGTAGCTCTCATCCTGTAACTACAGTTAGGTAATTACACACACACAATTGGTTTTTCAGTGTCAGAGTAGTTAACGGATGGAATGCATTAGGAAGTGATGTGGTGGAGGCTGACTCCATACACAGTTTCAAATGTAGATATGATAGAGCCCAGTAGGCTCAGGAATCTGTACACCAGTTGATTGACAGTTGAGAGGCGGGACCAAAGAGCCAGAGCTCAACCCCCGCAAGCACAATTAGGCGAGTACAATTAGGTGAGTACACACACACACAAAACACACACACAAAAAAAACACACAAAAAAAAACACACAAAAAAACACACACAAAAAAAAAGCACACAAAACACACACAAAAAAACACACAAAAAAACAAACAAAAAAAACATACAAAAAACACACACACAAAAAACACACAAAATGCGCACAAAACACACACAAAACACACACACAAAACACGCACACAAAACACACACACAAAACACACACACACACAAAACACATACATAGGGTATATATAATTGTATTATATCATAATGTGTTACACCACTAATGTTTAGGTTATTGTTGCAGGAGGGAGTTTACCAGTGGCCTCAGCACACGGCATGATGTACTCTTCCAGCTCTCAGAACCAGCCCCAGGGACCACAACCAAATGCTCAGGTTAGATGGCTTGCTCTGTACTTAAAGGGCTACTCATGCCCATGCCACCTCTTGGGTGGTTTAATCTTCATCAATCATCTGCTTTTTACTGATAACTTTTAGCCATTTAAAGACTTGGCTATTTTAAGTACTACATTATGGTGCAAAGTAAAAACAGTAGTTCATAGAATAATTTAAAAAAATCACATGGCAATTGGAGCATAAGAAGTAATTGCAGATAGTAATTTGAGCCATTTAAAGGTTAATCTATATTCTTCAGCAAACAGTTAGTATATACCGTGTATAATTTCGTGCTGTTGGTGACAGAAGCCTATACTTGGGCTTACCAAGGTTCCCCTAGACCAACTACTGACCTCTCCAGGTTGCACAACCCATGACAGTTGCTTAACGTCTTTTTATGTACCTGTTTACTGCTAGATGAACAAAGGCATCAGGTGAAAGGAAATGTTCCCTATACACTAGTGTTCTACTTCTGCAGGGATTGAGCCTGGGACCCTCAGTAGTGAGATGATGATGTAGACCACTGTACTGTCTGAGAATATATTTAAAGATAGTTACTTACTTTATGAACTTAATCCTTAATTGCTTTGTTAAAATGTTTTATCCAAATCCCTCAGACTGGCACTCTTATTAAAATAAGAGTATCCTAACATCTAGAAAATATAATTGTGAATACAGAAAAGTGAATAAAAAAATTTAGATACCTTTAAGTTATAGTTTTTGAAAGGAACATTTACTCCCATAGTGCACAGAAAAAAAAAAGTAAAAAATTGGGAAAGACCTGAGAAGAGCACCTGATGGGTGGAAAAATGAGTCATAGTCAGAAAGGATTGAGACTGGAGAGGAATGGAAAGTGGTGTTTCACTGAGCTTTGTCATAGGAGCATTGCTCTTTCTCATCAAAGTAAATGACCTTAGAGAGTGAGCTCGTGCACGTTGATGTTTGCACGTTATACATTATAAAGAAAATAATATTATTATTATTATAATAATAATAATATTATAATAATATTATAAACATTATAAGAAAATTCACTTTCGCAAACAGTGGTAGATGGTTGGAACGAGTTGAGAGAGGTGGTGGTGGAGGCCAAAACCGTCAGTAGTTTCAAAGCATTATATGACAAAGTGTGCTGGGAAGACGGGACACCACGAGCGTAGCTCTCATCCTGTAACTACACTTGTGTAGTTACCTAAGTGTAATTACCCGATTCAAAGTTAATGAAGAAAACTTTAGGGGTGAGGGTGGCAAGAAAATCCTGACAAGCTTCAGAAGTGGGTATGTTAAATGGCTGTATGTTAAATCGGTATTTCTTCTGTTTGCATCATGCTTCCTCTCGAGTGTCATAAAAGCAAATAAAACTTCAAGTTATTTACAGATGGGGAATTATGACTCTAAAATGCAGGAAAAAGGGAATACAGGGCTGAACTCTGTAACACAAGGGCCAAGGTGCTACAACAAATCCAATAAAGCCTGCTTGTTTACCAAGTTATAAGTTCAGTAAATTGAGTAGCACCCATAATCTGGATTTACTGGATGTTGATTTGGTAAATGAGTACAGTATCCCAAATACTGGTCTCAAAGCTGGCTGTTGAATCCAGTGGAATGCTAAATCAAAGGTCCTTAAATAAGATGGATACAGGATCTTCCATGCATATTGTAATATTTATAATGAATGGGGGAAGAGTTTGTATTATTTAATAATAAATTTGTATTGGATGTTCTGGTTAGACCTTTTAATATCTTCCTTGATATACAATGACAAAAAAGAATTCTAGGTATGTCGCTCATGTTTATCAAATTAATTTTGATATACTTTTTTTACAGGGTCAGTTCTTCCCTCATCCTGGAGGACCCAACCCCCCTCCTCACTTGCACTCCAGTGGTCAACCACGGCAAGTCATTTCACATTCGCAACATATGCAAGTAAGTCAATTGTGTTGGTTATTTAGTTTTTATGAGACAGTTCCTACCACTATCAGTACTATAGTTTTATAGATAAATGTTTGTATTTAAGTTTTTGTTGTCATAGATTCAGCTACTCGGAACAAGTTCCAAGTAGCACGGGCTATGGTGAGCCCGTAACTTACCTGGCACAGGAGCGGTCTGTATTTAAGTGTATAGTAGTTCATTACAGTTCAACTTAGTAGAATGAACAGGAGTGCACCCTCATACCTACACTCAACCAGTCACACCACCATCCACTTGCTAATCTTTACACCACATGTGACCATAGGGTAACAGCACACAATGTGCACACAAGAAATGGCTGGTAAGATGAGGAAAACCTTTAATTTCCTAACAGACCAAACCAAGAGTAATACTATAATCAACAGAGTAAGATCTAGATCCTTTACCTTGAACAGCTGTGTTCTGAATAGCTGTAGGTTATATTTCTGTGCAGGACAAAAATTAATGGGCCTACCTTGAGTTTACCTTGAGGTGCTTTCGGGGCTTATCGTCCCCGCGGCCTGGTCCTCGACCAGGCCTGGATAAAGTACAGGCAGCAGAGTACAGAAGCAAATGGTTGGGTACTATGGAGGGCCAGAAACGAGTAAACTTGGTGAACTAGAAGTATAGACACAGTTTATTAATTTTTTATGCAATTTATTTTTAAAGCAGCCTATACCTCTTTAATAGAAGGTGATATGTTCTTCACTTTGACATATAATAAGTGGATACTTAGGATATAATAAGCGAGACCATCACTGTACTTAGACACACAGGACAACATACATAGTTGAATAAGGAGAAGACGTTAGTAAACAACAATGTGATCGCAAGATGGCGATTGGAATGTTCTGATAGAAAGCGACAAATCTACAAACAAATTGACATGTGTTTCTAGGAGGCTTTTAAAATCAAGCCTAAGTAAAGACCTTGTAGGTTACAGTAGTCAGAAACTACAATGAACACTATTTTAGTAACTGAAGAGAAGATTAATAAGCACTTAACATAATTGGACATCAGTAAGGCAGTAGCACAAAGCCAGGGTAGGTTGATTCCAACGCCGTCGCAGGAACTGTGAGCTCCGGAGTTGACCTCGAAGTTAGTGGAAAAAATGCACAGGGACTTGAAACCCGGAGACAGCCATGGTCGGGGCCGGAGAAGAACCGCCCCATGAAACGTATGAATGACTCCAGCCTCCTGAAGCAGAGCCTGGGGCCGCACTTCAGTAAATTGAGTAGCACCCATAATCTGGATTTACTGGATGTTGATTTGGTAAATGAGTACAGTATCCCAAATACTGGTCTCAAAGCTGGCTGTTGAATCCAGTGGAATGCTAAATCAAAGGTCCTTAACCCCTTAACTGCGTTGCCTCCAAATGTGACACCCCCGCAGTGCGCAGGAAATAAATTCTCTGGAAAAAATTCTTTTTTCTTTTTAAAGTGTCAAAAACCCTTCCCTCAGTATGGGTATGTAAAAAAAAAGTCGAAATTGTACTTACTTTGGCTGCTATGGGGTCCGGAAGTTGGGGCGTGACGTCATCATTCCCCGTGCGCCCGTGCCGTAAGCTCTCGGGGGCGGTGGGGCGCTCGGGGCGGGGTGCGCGAGTTGCCGCGAATATATTTTCGTTCATTTTTTGCGCACCTTTCCAAATACATTTTCATTGTTTTTATGTGCCAATCCAATGTATAATGAACACGTACACTATAATATCGCAGTACAACATCCGTACTGTCCGTAGACACTGTGTTACGTGCATGAAACTTGTGCGCACATATGCAGCACATATTTACTATGTATCATGCTAATTTGTGTATATATACAATCTATTTACACACTATACACTGTCACACACTATATACATTCACCATCAACACATTCAGAACACCGCGTAGCAGCTGTTTCATATGGGCCAATAGCAGCTGCCTCGTATGGGCCAATATCAGCTGCCTCGTATGGGCCAACAGCAGCTGCCCCGTATGGGCCAACAGCAGCTGCCTCGTATGGGCCAATAGCAGCTGCCTCGTATTGGCCAATAGCAGTTGCCTCGTATGGGCCAATAGCAGCTGCCTCGTATGGGCCAATAGCAGTTGCCTCGTATTGGCCAACAGCAGCTGCCCCGTATGGGCCAAGAGCAGCTGCCTCGTATGGGCCAATAGCAGCTGCCTCGTATTGGCCAATAGCAGTTGCCTCGTATGGGCCAATAGCAGCTGCCTCGTATGGGCCAATAGCAGCTGCCTCGTATGGGCCAATAGCAGCTGCCTCGTATGGGCCAAATAGCAGCTGCCGCGTATGGGCCAAATAGCAGCTGCCTTGTATGGGCCAATAGCAGCTGCCTTGTATGGGCCAATAGCAGCTGCCTCGTATGGGCCAATAGCAGCTGCCTCGTATGGGCCAATAGCAGCTGCCTCGTATGGGCCAATAGCAGCTGCCTCGTATGGGCCAATAGGAGCATTTGATCATGAACACATTCAGAACACCTCGAGTGAGAGCAGCCACACCCAGCCAGTCTCCCTCACTCCAACATCTTACTCGCCAACATTGTTCCTCCCACCATATTATTATAGTTCTTATTACACATGTTCTATATACCTATCTACATGTTTTATTTACCAGAACTATGCAAGTAAGCCGGTATTGTGTCCAAACAGTACAGTGGCCACCATACACTGCATGAAAAATCACACAGCAGACGACGCTACGATTACGTCACCTCCCTCACCGTTAAATAAGATGGATACAGGATCTTCCATGCATATTGTAATATTTATAATGAATGGGGGAAGAGTTTGTATTATTTAATAATAAATTTGTATTGGATGTTCTGGTTAGACCTTTTAATATCTTCCTTGATATACAATGACAAAAAAGAATTCTAGGTATGTCGCTCATGTTTATCAAATTAATTTTGATATACTTTTTTTACAGGGTCAGTTCTTCCCTCATCCTGGAGGACCCAACCCCCCTCCTCACTTGCACTCCAGTGGTCAACCACGGCAAGTCATTTCACATTCGCAACATATGCAAGTAAGTCAATTGTGTTGGTTATTTAGTTTTTATGAGACAGTTCCTACCACTATCAGTACTATAGTTTTATAGATAAATGTTTGTATTTAAGTTTTTGTTGTCATAGATTCAGCTACTCGGAACAAGTTCCAAGTAGCACGGGCTATGGTGAGCCCGTAACTTACCTGGCACAGGAGCGGTCTGTATTTAAGTGTATAGTAGTTCATTACAGTTCAACTTAGTAGAATGAACAGGAGTGCACCCTCATACCTACACTCAACCAGTCACACCACCATCCACTTGCTAATCTTTACACCACATGTGACCATAGGGTAACAGCACACAATGTGCACACAAGAAATGGCTGGTAAGATGAGGAAAACCTTTAATTTCCTAACAGACCAAACCAAGAGTAATACTATAATCAACAGAGTAAGATCTAGATCCTTTACCTTGAACAGCTGTGTTCTGAATAGCTGTAGGTTATATTTCTGTGCAGGACAAAAATTAATGGGCCTACCTTGAGTTTACCTTGAGGTGCTTTCGGGGCTTATCGTCCCCGCGGCCTGGTCCTCGACCAGGCCTGGATAAAGTACAGGCAGCAGAGTACAGAAGCAAATGGTTGGGTACTATGGAGGGCCAGAAACGAGTAAACTTGGTGAACTAGAAGTATAGACACAGTTTATTAATTTTTTATGCAATTTATTTTTAAAGCAGCCTATACCTCTTTAATAGAAGGTGATATGTTCTTCACTTTGACATATAATAAGTGGATACTTAGGATATAATAAGCGAGACCATCACTGTACTTAGACACACAGGACAACATACATAGTTGAATAAGGAGAAGACGTTAGTAAACAACAATGTGATCGCAAGATGGCGATTGGAATGTTCTGATAGAAAGCGACAAATCTACAAACAAATTGACATGTGTTTCTAGGAGGCTTTTAAAATCAAGCCTAAGTAAAGACCTTGTAGGTTACAGTAGTCAGAAACTACAATGAACACTATTTTAGTAACTGAAGAGAAGATTAATAAGCACTTAACATAATTGGACATCAGTAAGGCAGTAGCACAAAGCCAGGGTAGGTTGATTCCAACGCCGTCGCAGGAACTGTGAGCTCCGGAGTTGACCTCGAAGTTAGTGGAAAAAATGCACAGGGACTTGAAACCCGGAGACAGCCATGGTCGGGGCCGGAGAAGAACCGCCCCATGAAACGTATGAATGACTCCAGCCTCCTGAAGCAGAGCCTGGGGCCGCACGACCCCCGGGAGGTAGACGTCCCGATCCTGCTCCTATGGGTTCCAGACAGATCGTCACAGCCCTCTTTTACCCGAGGTCGACTTCCTTCAAGACCAAGCAGAAGGAAGAGTGATAATTATTAAATTCAACAATTATTATTATAATAATTATACTAATAATAATATAACTAATTAGTAGCATCATACCAGATATCACTATGGCTGCTGAAAGAGGCAGAATGGATTTTATGTAACCCTTATTCTAGAGCCTGTGATACAGCAAAAGACAATAATGTACTGGAAATCTTGGAAGACTTTTAACGTGTGCCAATATTGAGAATAGTGACAGAACTGTTCCAAATTGTAAACCAATATTACTGATAAATGTGATAAATCTTTGGTCATTAAGTTAAGAGAAAGAAGTGGCTTACATAATTTTAGACTGCCAAAAGGCTTTTGATACTGTCACCAATAAAAAGGTACCAGGCTGGGTAAGGGAGTACCTGACAAAGAGTAAACAGACGTATGTGGGTGTGGACATAACACTGTCCTTAACGCTAAAGACGAATGTAAACAATAACATTACCAAACCTAAACTGGCGAATTTGAAGAAATCATTAATAAATCTAAGATATGAATTATTCAGACTATGCAAAGCATATGTAAAGAACAAAAAAAAACTAATGTATGTTTAAGCCCCCTTGCCTAGTGGAGGTGGTACATACCAT